GTCATTGCCATTGCTACATAATAATCCATGTAGTGGTGTTTAGTTTGACTTAAAAGACTTGCCAGGCCATTCTTTTGGACAGGGAGGGGGTGCTGCAGAGTTGGCTACTAAATGGAATTGAGAGGGATCTAGGAAGAGAACAGGGCTGAGAAGATAAATTATTACATAACAAAACAAGCATTAAAGGTTAGGGGAAAAAAAAAGGAGAGGGGGGGGGGGGGGGGGGGGGGGACAGCTTCCATGCGTCTAGTCATTGTGCTGTTTTTGACAATTTCTCAGCAAGTCCATCCATCCTTGCAGTTACTCCTCACTATCGATCTTCCCCAAAGAAGTTATCCCAGGAGGAGAGATACAAAGATAGGTCTCCAGTGCACTCGCTGTTAACTGCTCCGCTAGATGACCTGAAGGCTGTTCCTGGTACCTCCACAGACCACAAACCATCTGTGAGGGGGACTAGCTCACTAGAAGCTGCAGGTGCTGCCACAGTCACCCAGAAAAGTAAGTGTGGCCCCATTTCCAGTCAAGGTGAAAGATATTTCTCCCCCTCATCATTACGGTGGCAAATTGCAAACTGTAGGCTGAATTAATCTTAGCTGTAACTGTAGAAAACACTGGAGTTGTATCAAAATTCACTAATGTGAATATAGCTTATGAGGAGGGCATTTTTATTCAGTAGTAACTTTATTTTCATGTTTTTTTAAAAAAACAGTTAACTACTTTAATCCTGTCTTTTTGCTAAAACAAAGCACTTTTCTTTTAACAGGTGTATCCTTCAGTCCCAGTTCTTGTAAGTGCTATTCTACAATGCAAATTTATTCAGAAGTATTTGTGATGAATTTCAGAGTTCTGTTCTAGGGGTTTCAAACTTACCCACTCTACTGAAATTCTTCCTTTTTTCCTGATTTTCTCAGAAGACAAGCATTTCCACCTTTAGGAAGGGCAGTATTATAACCATTCCTATTAAAATAAAAATTTCTCCTTCTGACAGAGGGGTGGAAACACTTCCTTGTAGCCTCCTTATGCCATACAACATGAAGGGCTTTAGAAAAGCAAGCAATATTGTACATATTCTGGAGTGAAGCACAGTGTGCAGCAATTAATACAATTAGCACTGTAATATAATTGAGGATTGACAGTGAAGGCAAATACCATGCCCCACTGAAACTGCAGAGAAACTGTTACAAGGACTTTAATATTGAAAGTAAACACTGGGCGTGTATACACATTCATTTAAATGCACTGTAATTACACCCGCATTAATGAACTCCAGGGCAGAGTGTCTCCTTGCTGCCAAGTATTCAGAAAGTCCTTCTGGGGAATCTGAAGGTCTTAGGTGATGAGGAGATCCCACAGGCTTCAACTCTGCCTGGGTTTTTATAGGTGAATCTGCACCTTCTTCTCCTCCTTTTGTGCCTGAAGTATAGTATACTTTTTACATCCCTTACATATTATGTACCCTGCCCCCCGACTTGCATGCATTCAGTGTCTCCGTTTCTTTTCAGATATTCCAGTCTCTCACTGCTTGCAAGTTCTACTTTGAAATATAAATGTAATTCCCTGCTTTCTTTGGTCATACCAGCCCAAGCAGTCTGGATCCCTTCCCTGCTCCTTTAGGTCTGTCTCCAGCCCAGACTTGGGATGATTGTGCCAGGTCTTTGCCAACAGGGAGCAGGGTTAGGCCAAAGCCAAGTTCTGAAAAAGAGTTCTGAAACCTTATTTACCTGAATCCAAGATGATTCTGAATTTAAAGTGACCCCCCCAATAATGAGATTCTACACATGAAAAAATGTATAAATTTGTTACAATTAGCCATATATAGAATCTCATTATTAACGGACCATCTTAAATTAACCGCCACCCCGCTGCAGCAGGACAAGCAGTGACAGGGGGGCAGGCAGATCCTTGACTCTTGTCTCCCATACCTTGCCCTCTGCTACCTGCCCCGCCTCACCTTCCCTTCCCTAGTGCTTGCACACCCTGGGGCATGCTTATCCAATGGGGCCTGACCCCAAGCACCTACTTCCCATGCCTGTCCCCTGTGGTGCCTGTTCCCCTCTGTAGTGCCTTCATCCCCTGGCACCTGCCCCTTTCCTGCCTCTCCTCTAACCTGTCCCCCTAGTGCCTACCCCCACAACTGCCTCTGCCCCCCGGCTGCCTGCCCCCTGCCACCACCTCTGCCCCCTCACCTCCCATTGCCATCTCTCTTCCAGCTCTGACCTGACTCTGGCCCTACTCCAGCCCAGCCATGTAGCAGTGGCAGCTCCAGCCACAGCCTCAGCTGGTTGCTGCATGGCTGATTTTGGGCCACAGCAGCCATATGCTCTGTGCCATAGGCCAGAGCCAGACCAGGAGGTAGAGCTGTAGCCAGAGGGTAAGTGGTGGCGGGGTGGGGCAGGACAGGCAGTGGAGCAAAGGTGGTGGCAGAAGGGGTTGGCAGGCAGGCAGAGACTGGAAAGGGGTGGGTGAGACAGTGGGGAGCAAGAAGTGGCTGCAGCTCTGACTCTGGGTCAGGGCCAGAGTCAGTCGCAGCAGCTACCTCCTTCCCCACTTGTACTTGAATCCAAGACCAGAAGCTGTCTCCTCAATGTTAAGTGAGGAAAAAAACCTCATCTTGGATTTGAGTAACTAAAATACATGTTAAAGTGATTTTAAACTAAAATTAGGTGGCAAGAGAGACTATCCAACAGGGGCCAGGGGAAAGGGAGACAGGGTTAATCTGAAGTAATTATTAGCATAAAAATTCTGGAGACTAGACCCACCATTATTAAGCCAGAGCACAATTTTCCAGGAGCTGGATGCTGCAGTCCTTACCCAAGCAAAACGCACATAAAAATAGGCTGTCATGTTCCAGGGGAAAATGGAGGCCCCAAAGGGGAAAAATTACTCAAAAAGTCTAGTTCCATGAAAGGTTTCTCTTCCCGTGAGGCACAGAACAGTTTTTGCAGCGTTCCTTCATGAGAGCCAAACAATTCTCTTCCTTCCTCAACTGGGGTAATGCAGACAGTTCAGTCTGGAAAGGAGAAACTCAGAGGGGCTCCATTTAGTATCATTAAAAATGAAGCACTTTTGACTTCTCCTTTTGGAAAGAGGGAGTACTCACAATAAGCTAGAATCAGAAAAAACCTTTCATTCAGGCGTGGAAACTTTGGGACAAAGAAGGCTTTTTCATGTACCTCTTTAAAGGAGATTTAACACCTCTCCGATCCAACGATCAGGATACATACATTCCTTTAAAGTCCCATTGATAGCAATAATAATTTTGCCAAACTAAGGACTGAGCAAAAAGATATCAAGATAGAATGGCCTTTACAAGGCCATACAAGAGATGTGTCTCCTGCTGCCTAGCATGTACTAAATCAGTTTGAAGACAACAGGTAGCTCAAACATGGAGCCCTAGTTTCAGCAGTTGTATTTAAAGCCTTGTCAGTTGCTTTTTCCATGTGCCTACCGCATATTTGAAAAGAGTAAACTTTTTTTTTTTAAACACAAACATACCAGCCTCCTACCAGTGAGTTAGACTGTCTGTACTGCTTTATTAATCTAGCAAAAAGATCCTAAAATAAACAGAGCCATTAAAGAAAAATAGAGAGACTACCCTTTCAAATAACATTTACCACCTTATAATATTTTGTCTCCTTTTATTCTGTTTAATTCCTTCTAGGAGCCCAACAATACTATTTCTTTTTAGAGCACATCTGCATTGCAGACTGCAGTGTAGAGTAGACATACTGAAAAGTGGTGTGGTAGAAGGGGAGAGGGGAGGGAAGAGGTGTGGTGGGGCCGATCAATGGCCCCTGCAGTGAGGGAAGGAGTGGGGTTGGGGCTGGGGTGGTGCTGCCCAGCCGGGATGGGGCAGATGTAGGACAGAGCCGTGGCTCATCCAGGGAGCGCAGGGAGGGGGGACAGCTCCCACTGCTGCTCACTGCTCATCCGGCAGCTCCTGCTGCTGGTCCTGTTACACAAATTGCCAATTGCTCAAATTATAAGCGAGACTTTATAAAGGGGGATAAGGCAAGGTGCCGTGTTTATTGATTACATGAGTTAGACATAGAGGTTCAGGCACACCATTCATACAAAACACACACAAATCATCATACACATCATTACACGCAGGCATACACATACACAAAACAACCATTTCATCCACACACGCACCAGATCTAGTTACCAGCAATAGTTGCTCAATATTAGTCCAGGGTGGCCAACCTGGGCTTATTGAGTAGATGATGATGATTTGAAGATAGCAGATTTGAAGATAACAGCTGGAGCAGGGTGAACAGATGCATCTGTGCTCCAGTGAAACAGCAGTAGAGAAAGAGACTCACCTGACTTGGCATTTTCAGTGTTCTTATAGGGATCGGCATTCTTTGTTTCAGTGCTTTGGGTTTTTCCATACCCAGCTTCCGTTTTTGTGGTTTTTCTTCTTTTGTTTTCAGCTTATCTTAGCCTTGGAGTGTTTTTGTTGCTCATCTGGCAGAATTTCTTCTTCTGTTATCTCCTTTGTGCCTTCAAGCTTCAAAGGGATTCTTCAGCCATTTGTTAGTTAGTTAGTGGTTGGTAACTTACATCTGGCGCCTTGTTGCTTACATAAACAGTTGAATCTTTTTCTCCCATTTCTATGCCATTCTCTCACCATTTACCCTTTTACACACATTCATACATAAAGGTTATGAAGAGTTCATTCACTTATGTCAAGCAGAAGGATACAAAATGGAGTTTTCAAGTTGCTTACAGGACAAGACTAACATAGTTATATTTTACTATTATTACACTCTGTTAACGTTAGCTACGTTAGTTCAGTTCATGCTACAGTCCCGCTACTCATCTGGGAGGGCATGGGGGGGAGGGGGGTATGTGCCCCTGGATTGGTGCAGGGGGGTCCACCGCTGCCCACCCTGAGCACAGTGCAGCATGGCCCCCAGCCTGCCCTGTCCTGCCCAGTGCAGATCCAGGGGTACATCCCCCCACCAAGCAGCAGGAGCTGCCAGACAAGTGGTGCACAGCAGTGGGACCTGCCCCCCACTCCCCACACCCCCTGGACGAGCTGCA